GACCGGGCAAAAAAAATCGAGACGGTCAAACCGTTTCAATATTTTTATAAGATGATTGTGATATGTTCAGCCCTTTGTGATTGTAAAGATTAAGATCATCGGAATGTTCTTAAATAATATGGAGGGCGAGGCCAAGAAAAACACAAGCCAATCAGGAGATAATCATTAGTCTAAGACCTTAATTCTTACAAATTGGAGTTACTTCCCTTCAGTCACAAACCGGTTAATCTTTCACTAATGCACCATGAATAGGTGCTCCGTGCAGCGAACATTTTCTCCGCTGAAAGTTGAACTCGACATGGGGAATGTGCACGCTTCAGTGGCATGACTCGAAGTGGTTTGTAAAGATTAAGATCATTGGAATGTTCTTAAATAATACGGAGGGCGAGGCCAAGAAAAACACAAGCCAATCAGGAGATAATTATTAGTCTAAGACCTTAATGCTTACAAATTGGAGTTACTTCCCTTCAGTCACAAACCGGTTAATTTTTCACTAATGCGCCATGAATAGGGTGCTCCGTGCAGCGAACATTTTCTCCGCTGAAAGTTGAACTCGACATGGGGAATGTGCACGCTTCAGTGGCTTGACTCGAAGGGGTTTCTGGCTAGTCACGCAGTGCGACAACACTCAGCACAAGTGTCTACGAGTCTATAAATAACCATCGCACGTGAAATTCTCTACACATCTAGGCTATCAAAATTACAGCCTTAAAAAATCTAACTGACGATTCAGAGTAGCAGAAATATAACTTTTTGGTTATTACAGCAGTTTTAGAAATTACGTTCGTTTTGCAGAACAGTAGGACGTTAAACCCCATTTCATTTCATTTCATTTACGTTCGTTTTATTATTTAAATTGCTTTATCATTAACTATACCGTTAGGAGCGGCATCTTTTGGTTTAGTACAAATAATATCTTTGAAACACTCGGGTTAGACAAGAAAATGATACTCGCAGTTGTTTCATTTTACTCTAACAAGGTTCTTAAAACAATTGTTGAGTTGCCTAAGGTGCATATTTCTAAATTCAATTTCTTGTTCCAGCTTTGTTATCTTTCTTTTAAAAAAAAGCAGTCACACTATCCCGGCCTGTCAATCAGACGAAGAATATCTCTGTAAAAGATGATTGCCTTCAACACGTGACATCACATCACGCGGCGACAATCATTGGCTCTGGCGCGTGCATTGTTTACATTAGACGTTACTGGTTCGGGGAAAATGGTACCTTTTACTCATTTTAATACCCATTTACACTAAATAGGAAATAATTTTTACCTACAAATAGGCTACTTCAGACGTCTTTATTTATTTTTCTAAAAGATATGTTTTAGAATTTAATTTGTCGGAGGAAAAAAAGTTAATATTTGTGGCTCATTAAGTTGTATCGATGTCATCCTTATCAGTGATTGTAGAGGCCTAGCGAATATTCACTGCTGATCGATGTGGGGGAATGGTCGGTAGACTTGCAATTGTTAAGCGAAACTAATTTGAAAACAAGAGCATGTAACCTATTTTTTACTCAAAAGTGCCCGGATGTTATGGTCGATACTCGTAACCATTTTTCAGTCTACACTGTTAGAATTTTTGGGTCGGACCGACCAAATAATATTGGGTCAAAGGCATCCGACCCAAAATATAGGGCCTACTAGTCAGAAATTTTAGGTCAACCATTTTGACCCAATAATTTTGGGTCAATGGCATCCGACCTAAAATATACTTGTCAGAAATTTTGGGTCGAACATTTTGACCCAAAATTATCATGTCGCCACATCTTTTGGTGGCCGATACTCGTAACCATTTTTCAGTCTATATGGATGTTAAATGGTCATAGCTTATTAAGTACATCATGACCGTTTATTTAGTGACAACGGTCATGATTGTGGTGTAATTGTCAGGATATTTATTTATGGTTGGTAGAAACAGAGAAATGGGGTTTAATGTCTACGTGGCACAAACTAGGTCATTTCGGGACTGACGTATGGTTCAATTTTATTTCAATAATTAGCTGTGGGAGAAATCCGGAAGACTAGGAGAAACCCCACGAGGTTGGATAGGCAAGCCAGAATGTGGTCACAGGTTGTCGCCCGCCTGGACATTTTTGTACAAAGTAATGCACATATTTGCAAATTGTATTGGACTGAACAGTCTTTAATCGATTTGGTTAGGTGAAATATAATTGGAGGAAGACCAATAAGTATTTGGCACACGAGTGTGTCTTGAGCTGCATCCTTATAATACAGGTGGGGTTAATTAATACGGACACAATTACCTTTGGATTACCCCTTTTAGCCAGTGCCGATTGATGGATTATCCTGGTGAACTCTTTAGCTCTAGATTTTGTTGCATTTGTTTGTTTATAAGTGAATTTCGGCAATGTTTGTAATATCTATCATTTTTTTCTTTTAAATTCCCATTAGTTATCAACGTATCTGCTCAGGGCTGGCTACTCTAGTAAATGAATTAGGTGAAATGATGATGGTAAAAAGTATTTTCAAGTTAAATGTGTCTAAAATGCAAAGATAAACAAATTTCACTCATCATGCAAGAGAGGTTTGAAGAACACACACTTTTAAAATTAAAACCAGGTGGTTTGGTTAAGATCCTTTCCCCAAGTAACAAGTATCTTATCTTCTTTGTATGATCCACTGATATATCTTATGTTCTAGATCAAATGTCAAGCCATGGGTATTTAGATATAGATCTCTTATATGTATTAATATTGATGAAACTTTTTTTTAATGATAGGACAGGTTTAAGTTTGATTTATGTCTATTCTTACAATTACGATGAAAATTTTCTACAATATAGGGTAACCCAGAAAAGACTAGTACATTAAAGTAGAATAATTTAATAAAGTATTGTCCATTGCTAAAAGTGTTAATATAGTACCAGTTTTAAAAAATAATGCCAAATCAGGTTTTGCTAGACCGAGAAGTAACATTACACTAACCTCAGTTTACATAAACAAATGGTCAATTTTCTAGTTTTATTAAGTGAAGCTCCTGATTATTTTAAAATCTCATGTAAAGTATATTACAGAGAAAAATTTAATTTCAACTAGGTTACGATGGGACTAACATAAGATACATAATAACATTAAGTTGAGGAACATTCCTTGCATCCTTATATAAAGTTTCACCTGATCAAGATTTTCTTCTTTGCAATTTTCTTACATTTTTGCGACATTACTTTCTTTTATAATGTAGGAATTTTTTTTATATATATATTGGAATTTTTCGTTTGTTTCTGTAATATATATATATATTAGTAACGCATTAAAATGGCCCGACGATTCGTTTGATAACGATGCAAGTACTAGCCAAAATTTTAATTTTTAGTGTTTTTTCTCTAATACTTGAATTTTACAAGCGTATAAATATATATTATATAATGTTGTGTTGTTTTTTTTTATTGGGGGGGGGGGGGAATGACTACGTTTGAATTCAACCACTAATAGTACTGTAAAATTATTGCTTCTTCCAAGTTTTACCTGCTGCACGTATGATATCTAAGAAATGAAATGTGATTTAATGTCTTACTTTTCTGCAGCAACTTGGTTCCTGAAGACAAGCACATGCCTTGCAGTGTGCTGAAAGGGGAATTTGCTTGGGAGCCGCGTTTCTGCCTACTTTTTATCAAATTCAAATTATCCTAGAGAAACCGGGTTTGAATATCCCCGAGAACTTTCTCAGCCAACACCAGTATAGAACCTGTGACCCCCTGTTTAGTGTCATATCCACCTTATATCAAGGAACTCTAACCTTAAAATACTTCCATCAGCGGTGTATACAGTTTCTCCAAATGTGGGGGTCACCGAAATTGATACAACAGGGAGATTGGAACACCACTGAAATAGACTGCAAGTACAACTCAAGTACAATGTTAGACCTACCTTAATTTAAAGGGTATTAACCTTAAAACAGATGAAGATGGGTCTAATGTAACATGAAAGTATATAAATTGATTTATATTCAATTTTTTAAAAAAAAAAATATTGTAATTTTTAATCAATTATGTTCGGTGAAATATGTAAGGAGTCCAAATCGAACGTAGTCATTAATGCATTATTATTTTGTCATTTGTGATTCCGCCATTTTTAATTACCTTCACATTGTCTTGTAGGATATATTTTTCTTTGTTCTTTACAAATGGTGCCAGAAACCATAGTATACAGGACTCATGTAGTGATTTTAAAATGTTCATCGTGTCTTGGATATTAGGATCCCATATTTTCATGGCAAGATAACATCAATAAGGATTGAAACAGACCAATATTGAATTCAAATTCGTGTTTTTAACTTCAAATATTATGGAAAATATTGAGTTAAAAGTTTAGCTCCTTTATAAGGAAGTTTTTTTGCATTAAAAAAAAAAATATTATAGAGAGTAGGTATTATTAAACCTGTAACAAAAGGAAAGGTTGTTAAAATCCAAACCATGTTTTAATAGTTTTTTTGCACTGGTATTCTTTTTTTTTGTTAGTAAGATACTAAGACGTTTTATCCATTCTTCATTCCATTCCAACAAAATATAAAAAATATCAAGATCAAAAATACAGAAGGGCAATCCTAGAAGGGTAACATGCAACATTCCAATTTTTAGTCCATTCCAAAACACAAAACCTTAAAGTTCCATACAGATATATTTTTGAACCTACTAAACTATGGGTAGCCATTTATTCTTAAATAGAGGTTGATTTGTTTGCTGATTTGTTTGTACCTTTGTTAAAAATATGAACAATTCTTTTTCATAGAAAAACACTTTAGTAAAATTCTGTAAGAATGATTTCGAAATAGTCTTCTGATTTCAATGAAACAAACAGTTTAAAATTCAGCGATGTCTTTTTAAAATTGAATGTGTTCTCTAGAGATATAATAAGTATTTCAAGGTTTCTACACACTATGGAACTTTAGAACATTTTGTGTAATTTTTTGTTTGTTTTTAATTTAGCATGCATGTAGATGAGATACAAACTAAAGTGCAGAATGAAATCATATCATATATTGGTTGATAATCAGTTTATTACATCACAAATAGGTGCTAAGCTACGTATAGTATGTTTGGCCATTGAAGTCACAAAACATGCCAGGACAAAGTTCCATTTACTAAATTTGAAGGCCCTCCCCCTTTTCTTGTGAACTGGTAGTTCAGTGCCAACCTAATCAATATTTAGCAAATTTCTTGTTTGTATTGCAATTAAAAACGAACAAAATTTTGATGGTATTTCATCAATTCAATTATATGGAACTAACAATAATTGGATCAAAATATGAGTAAAATTGCAGTTTTGTCCAATTATGTTTTGTGACTATGAGGCCTGGATTAAATGTGCAGACAAAGTCAATGTATTACTAGTATATATTAAGAAACATAAGCACAAAGAACATTAGCGGCAAAATTGACAAAAATAACTACTAAATCTCAAAATTGCTCAAACACTGAAAATAAGGGAAGTTATCTAATGGCAAACATTTCCCGGCATAACAACAAATAAATTATTAATCACAAACTTAGAAATTCACTGCTGAATTCCATTAAATTTTGATTTAAGCCAATAACAATACAAATCTACAAAGAGAGAAATTCTGTTGTTATTGCAGAAAATGTTTGCCTCATGCATTAATTGAGAGTAATCTCTCTCCCCTTTTTACCATGGCAAGTCAAAAATAGTAACAAACAAACAAACAAAAAAAAAAAAAACAATCATAAACACCGCCTTGGTTAAATTATTTACAAGTTTGTCTGTAGCAAAATCCTTGCATTTTGACCACCAATCAAAACCAATTCATTAAGAAAATCGATTTCAAAACTGAACCAAATTTTTTTTTTTTTTTTTTTATTTAGGGGGTGAGGGTTTCTTTTTGTTACTAGATAGGTTTGATTATAATAGCACGCTGTTACATATATTTCTATCAATTACACTCCATAGAAAAGCAAATAAAACTTTTTCAGAATCTTGCCAAAATGTCAAAAGATATTTGCTACAGGCTGATTATTAATAAATCGAATGTTTCAAATCAGACAGTTCATCAATATGGAAATCACTATGACTACAAATATAGATACACCTAATCTACGAGATTAATATTCATATATATGAGGACAGAAACAATATAACTACATATCTTGTTGTTCATGTTTATTTATTCATATATATATATATATAAGAGATAAATAAACATATATATTTATATAATATGTATATATGCATGATGAAAAAATTCATGTCGTAATAGATCCACATCATGCTACTAACGACTTTGATTTGATTTGATTTTTAAAATTCTCAATTCCCGACATATTAGCACTCGTTAATTGTATCAGTACAATACCCCATGCAACAAAATTATTCGCATGACCTGCATGTGTTCGGATCCAAGTCCACATTTAAAATACAAGACAAATATTAACTAAGTTCTAAACTTAATGGCCATGCTACCTTCTTGGCATGTTTTTAAAGACAGTATCTTTTACTTTTGATTTATTTAATCATATTAATGTCAAAATATTAATTTATCTTAATTTAATTGCCAAATCTTAAGTAATTCTCCATATTAATACAAGTATTTCATTTTCAATAATTTAAACTATTTTTGTTACATATTTTGAAAACTAAATTATAACTGGCTTTTCAATTTTTTTTAATGAAAATATTTTATATAAATTTAAAACGACAAAGTGTCATGGCCAGAAAGTAAGGACTTAAAAACACTATTCATTTCACATATAACACAATTCTATTGACTAAGATCATCTCATGTTGCCTTTCATTGGGTATCTTCTGTACATCAAAAACATCCTTTGTTTTTTTACCAATCTGGTTATTTCAATTTAATAAGTCTTTAAAAACATTCTTTTCCACCACGAAACTCTCTGAGTATTGTACATGGTTTCACACTTTTGCCTAATAAGGGAGTTAATAATAGTAATTTTACTGTATTCAAGAAGATTCTTATTGTGTTAGAATCTAAAGACTAGATATATTTTAGATACTAAAAATCTATGAGGTATAATAAAGATATGAGTAATCATTGCAAATATAAGGGAAATCATTATATTTCTACGACAGTTTATTTTGTCTTTTTTAAACAAATTGTGTATTTACGACTAGATAATCAAGACTATTCAACGGAAATAACCAGATTAATCAAAAATGACACGATGCTATTCATGCCATTGTAGGAGAACATGCATTCAGCTGAAGCTGATAATGGAAGAACATTAGTATGTGCTTGTGCACAGAATAATAATCATAAATACCGTTTTCGACTGATAAGAAGCAAAGGAAATCTCAGTTATGCATATTTTATGAAATCAAAATAAAGCAAATTTCTCCACTTTTGAGTAGGTTGAATTCAGATTTAAATGAATGCAGACCTGATAATAATTTCAGAATACAGGGAAAGAAAAGGTTGATATAATTTCCCTTGAATCCATCATTCACGGGCAACAGCACAGGGTTCAGTCGAAAACGGTACAAACATATACATTTCAAATCTATATACTTTACAATACATTAACAATTAAAATATTCAAATGCTGTAAAATTGTGTAGATTTCTGGTTAACAAAACAAACATTCAGAATTCTTTTCAAAAAGGGGAGAGATTCAGGATTCATGAAGCACCAAATGAGGCAAGAGAACTACAGATTAATTCAACTACAAATTACTGGATTATACAAGATCATGTGACGGTCTAAAAGAGCACCTGATAAATTTTGTTCCAAGCCATATGAAGGTTATAGCCACAGATTTTATTTCATGCCTCATTTTGCATTTTAATTGGATCATCTGCATCAATGGGCAAAATTATAATTTGTTAAAATGGTTACTTTTTATTTAAATTTTGATCCTCAATCCACATTTACTAAATTTGAAATTCTTTTTTAAAATATGGCAACCATTCATTTATTTCATCTAGCATTCCAGATCTATGCAACTATATATGTAACTAATATTTGACCAGATTCAAAAATTAAAATTAATTTGCACCATATGTGAAAAACTCACAAAAGAAACATACAAAAAATCTAACAAAAACAAGTTTCAGTATGACAAAAAATTATGGCGAAATTGGACACCTATTGATGGGAAGAAAATATTATGAGACAAAAAGAAAAAAAAACCCTTACAATTTGAGAGCAATGATGCCACTTGGAGGGTGGGGGTGATATTCAGTAAAAAAGATTACCTCATCAGAATTAAATTAAAATTAATGTTAGCAATTTGCAGAAATTATTTGTAATATGAATCTGGCACAGGGAGTATAAATACACCCCAACCCCACTTGTACAATTTCTCTCCCCTTCACCTCTATTTTTCTTCCCAAACAATATCATCCAATTTCTATGATACTGACCAAGATTTATTTTCAAATCTGGCTTCATTCACTCAAAAACAAATTTATAAAAGACAACAGGTACAATACAGCATTTGTTCTTATTTTTTTAATGTAATAAATTAACTTTTTGATTTATTCAATAACATATCTGCCTCACAGACATAAGGGAAAAAAAACATTTAAAAATAAATAATGACAAAAAGAAAATGACATAGAAGTCAAATGAGTTACTACATGTACATACATATTTTAACATTTTAAGATCTCCAATGACAAACAAGATATTAAACCTTTTTAATTTGCATTCCCACTAGCCTCAAAGAAACTTTGGTCACCAATACTCATGTTTGGAGATCTTTAAAAATGCACTTGAAATCTTAGGTTCAAAGCCTTTCAATTATAAGTGCATTCTAATGTTAATTATTTCAATTAATCAAAAATATATGAACTAAGAAAACAGTGAATCAACAACATAATGAAAATTATTTATGGAAAAAATAAGACTAGTATTTTTTATCGCTCGAGTTTTCAATGGTTTGAGAAAAATATGACAGCAGAAAATCCTATTATGGAATGAATTCAATGTCAAAAATCAACAATGAACCATGATAAAATATGCATTCCGTAATAGGCTTCGGAAACTAGTTAAAACAACAGAAATGAATCCAGAAAACTAACAAAAATACATCTTCAGTACCTAAGGTTAAAAACACAACTTAAAAAAATCAGATCTCTGACAACATAGAAGATGTACCATAATTTGATCAGTGAGGGCAAGACAATTTTGGCAAGGAAAATGCTTCTACATTTTCTTGTTATGTTAATTATTTATTATAGTATGACAAAACACAAGGGCATCATGATATTGTAATGCTAATAGGCTGCCAGTACTGATGGGTTTCAAAATTAGGAACCTATTCTAAATCAGTTTATGACTGAACTCTAAATTATAAGATGAACAATAAATTCTTTGAATGGCATTCTAATTATAAATCCAAATTATACCCAAGTTTGTGTATGATGAGAAATTGTTTGCAATCCAAAATGAGCACCTAACATTTTTCAGTATATTTTGAAAACCAGAAGAATTTTATTTACAGTTGTTAATTTGAAACAGATGGCACAATAATTAGTAATATTTCAGATTAAAATGAGTACAAAATTGTATGACTGGCAGCCATGTTATCGAAGACAAAGACTCTCAGACAAGTCCTATAAAAAAACACAAACAATTTTTTAGCACCATAAATGTCTTGGGAGAATTCTAACAATTAATTACAATCTGTCACACTCTCTTTCAGCCACAGAAAAACTTTTATTCCAGTTTTGATATACCTTAATTAAAAAAAATAAACCAAAAACCTTCAATTTGTCCTGGAAAGTTTTAAAAATTCGGAAATATTTTACTCAGTTTTTGATGAATGACTAACCTTTTTAAAATCTCAAGTTAATCCATGAGAGTGTAAATATGACATGAAATAAATATGACGTGTAATTTCAAAAGAAAAAAAAAACATAACAAAAAGCGTAATAATGTACTTAACTACCGTCAAATATTCAATCCTAATGAGTATATAAATCTAAGACTGAGAATTCAGATTGGCTGTAGCCACTAAACTACCATCCAATTAAACAACAGCTTTAAAAAAAGCCATTTCTAATTCCACTGGCCAATGATATGACAGCATGAACATTCTGACAGGATAAAATATCAAATTACAGAGTGTTTTAAATATAGTGTGAGTATTTGAGTTGAAATTTGGAAGCTGTAAGACCTTATCAAAAATGTTTTAAATTAAAGAAAATTGCACAGTATTGAAGTTTAATCAAGTCAGAATGAATCATGTTCAAATGAAAGTATAAACAAATGACATGAATGGGGGACTTAGATAATTTTATAGCTCAGACTGAGGATTTCAAGAGAAGGATTTTCAAACAAGAACTGATTAATCTGATTGGATAAATGCTATCAACCCATCCAATCAACAAACCTGTTATTTAAAGCTTTTTTAGTCAACATCAAAATATTAGGTTGAACCGAGCAAAAACATCTGCTTAAAAATTCATGTAACATCAGAATTTTATAATCAATATATCACTATATAAGTGACAATAAAATCAACACTTGACTTCATCAAATTAAAATCCCAAAAATTTCATTGATTTTGTGTTTTTTGGAAGAAAGTGATTACAATAGCTATGTACAAGAAGCAAATGCCTCGTTTGTTTGAGATTTTAATTCAAGGAACGCAAATGTTTCGCTATTATCATCATTAACATTTTGCACTTAACAAAAAATTGAAATCCACGAGTCGTACATACATAAGATCTTCGTATCATACTTGATAAATATATACTATCAACATAAGAGGTAAAATTTTCATGTACAATCTGACTAGAAATAATGAAAATAAAGCTAACAGCATGAGTATTGTTTTTACAGTTCTCTCCCTTGGAACACAAAATGTTCAGGAGATAAAAAAGATTTGTATACAATGTAAGCAAGTGTAGCACGCAGCATTTTGGGAACAGAAACCCCGAACAATTTAAAACATTTCAATTCCTGGAAATACACCATTAACAGGCTAAAATCCAAGATGTCTTTCAGTAAAATCTGCTCTGTCCCAAATCTGGCTGTTGTTTTAAATTTTTCTTTATTTACACATGGTCACACGTTAAACATGTGATCAGCTAAGAGTTCTTGTATCCCTGCGCTGTGGATGTGCACGCTCTCATGTAGCTTTTCATTTAGTAAGGTGCAAATCGTTGATAGCCTCCACGATAAACAGTTGCCTGAAAAACAAAGCAAATTCATGTGTTATTGTTGAAGTTGTGACACTTGGCAAAAGCATTACTACATCAAAAATGGATTGTAAAAGGGTTTATGGTAAATAAGCACATAAATACTGAAAAGTACAAGCATACTGTGGACTATGAACTGAGCATTTCATTACCTCCATCTTGGAATTGTGACATCATATCAGAAATCGAAGTCTGTCAACTAATTTCGCGATTGTCCTAGTTTTAAGTCGATCATTGGTGATAAATTAGGCTTTTTTCAAGTGTTGCCCCAAAGTACAAGAGTGGTGTGAAGGCCAGGAATGCAGATGATGAGTTGTTTAAGGAAAGCCAAGACCAACTATTGTCAGAGAGGCAAGACCAACTATTGTCAGACCATATATATATAAACAAGGTTATAGCTTACCCCATAACCGGCAACTGGTCCAATACTGTGTCCTAGGAAGGGGTCGGTAGTATAATCTACACCTCGACCAATTCTACAAATTAAAATATAGTTATGTCATATATTTCTTCTCCCTGAAAGTCAAGTGTAGTTTAGGCAAAATCTCCCTGCCAATACAATCTCAATTACAACCACTGGAAACAGCTACAAGTCTTGACATTGAACAGGGAAAATGAAAGTATGTGTTCAAATTCACTCATTATTGGCAGAAGGTTTTAATTAGCCATACAACTGGCACTGAATAGTAAATTAGGTCATGCATTATTAAAGCATGTCACCTATTTTTCTGGAGTTCTATGTAATGGGTTTACATTAATGTCAGGTAACTGTGCTTGGGAGTAGACAAGATAAACATTTCAGATTACTACTGTTAAAAGTAGACGAATGAATACTGTGCATTGCCTACATATGATAAATCACAGAAAGAAAAGAAGGACATACTTTGGAATCATTTATGTACATTGCCAACATATATAGAGAATCTCCTACAAGTCTTTTTTGATATAAAAAAATATCAACACAAGTTGATAAAGCAAAAAAAACCTGAAGCTTTGATGAGTTTTTTTTACTTTATCGATGAGTGTTGATATTTTTTGATGAGTGGGAGATTTTATTTATCACCCAATCCTTTCTTACATGCACAAACAAATAAAATATAATTCTTTGCCATAGATTTCACTTTTACTGAACCTGATTACATTACGGCATAGTGATAGGCCTACATTAGTTTTTGTCCTTTATACTGACCCAGTGTGTCATTAATGTCAATTAAATGAAAATAATTCCTTTTTAATAAAAAAAGAAGTTACTTTTAATAAAAAATGAATTGTTCTTTGAAAATACAAAAGTAGTTCCTTTTTAATTGACCAATCAAATCCTTTAAAAGTGATATCTCCAAAGCAGATATCGCAGTAGATTATGAAACTTATCACAAGCAATATTTACTGTAGAATGTGTTATTGGGTGATAAATCAAGATCTCAGTTTGAAATCACCACACAGACCTACTCCCAGAAAATGGGAGAAATGGAAACCTAACTTGAAAAATTTAAATGAATCTTATTTTGTGCAGGAATGTACTTACTGTGCAGCTGTAGCCATGGTTGGTATAGCATATCTTGCAGCTGGGAAACCAGCAGCAGCTGCATAAGGCTGAGTTGTAACCAACTGATATCGAGCAGTAGCAGCATCATAAGTGGCAAGAAATGGATCCTGATAAATACCACCTCTGCAAAATATGAAAATTGAATCATGTCTTTTTTAAAATGGAAATAATGTAAACCCCTAGTCCCAGATAAGCTAAATCTTTCAGTGTCACAGAAATGTTTTTATTAGTTTAGAAATGGAATAGATTATTAAGAGGACACAATAGTAATGTTGGGTTCTTAGGGCCATTTTATATATTTTAATGAGTGGATTATCTGGTATAATGTACTACTTACGGTGCGTACTGTAATGGGGCTGCAGCAGCTAATGGTGTTGGGTGTCGCATTGCTACTGCTGCAGCTGCCGCTGCTGCTGCAGAGTAAGCTCCTCTTGCAGCAACAGCTGCTGCAGCTCGTCCTCGAGTTAAGGCCACGCCCCTTAATGCAGCAGCAGGTAGAGGTACTGAAATCAGGCAAACATAAAAAAATTACTATCATTCTTGTCAGTTGGTATATTTCTTTTTTATTGTTTTGGAAAAGGAACATTTTGCTTCAAAAATATTTAACATTTTCATTTAATTTCCAATAATTATAAAGACACATTTTCTACATAATAAAGAAATTTGGCAATTTACACAGTCACAAATCTACTTTCAAGAGTAGTTTCATAAAATGGTGATTGAATCATTTCTGAGGTGTTAAAATATGATTCCTAAAATTTATGAAAAAGATGTATGACCTTTGAAAATACTGAGAGTGCCAGACAATAATTAATTTCATAAATGGATGCAAGACTAGAATATAGTATATTGATTATCATGTAAAGATTGTGTCTAGAAAAATGTTTTCAGCATTCTTTTTTTATTATTATCAGTAACTATATGGTTTTCCACAGAAACAGATTACTTTGAATTATCTGTTATTATATTGATACAATTTTATTATCAGTAACTATATGGGTTTCCACTGAAACAGATTACTTTGAATTATCTGTTATGTTGATAAAATTTTAATTTTTTTTTACTATACAGAATAGAATATGTCTTACTGACTACAGCCTATAAATGACAATGACCATATTGCAGACAAATAATCTTAGTAACTCAATTATTTTCACTGATCGCTCTATCATGAAGCTAAGATTCTGTCCAACAGCACAAATTACCTCCTCAAACTAAACACAACCATGAATGATTGGTTTAGTTTTATATCGATTTTATTTAAATAGGTACAAATAATACTAGAATATTAAATACATTTAATAGTTAAATACATTTAACATTGGCAATATTAATTATGTTAAGAGATGTGCATTGATTTAAAGTCCATTACTGGTAATCTTATTCATTGAAAAAGAAACTAGATATAGCTGAATAAATTTCAAATTGATTTGTTGGGTTTGTTTTTTTTTGTTTTTTTCATAATACCCGATATTCTATTGGCAAAATGTTCCTTTAATTTACAATTGCAAAATGTGTCTGATAGGGAAAACAATGATCATTATTGACAGCTATCCACCAAGAAGAGATGTGATTTGACCATAACTTTCCTATAATTATTCAACAGATGTCATCAGATGCAATTAAAACCATTCTTACAGAAGATATATTAGTATTAAGGCATCTTTACTAGTAATATGATCCTTCATTTACATAGAGTTTGGATTACTTTATGGCTGGGTATCATGCAATAAAACATGTTTGTCTCAACCATCAACCATAGCTTCTATTCTGTGTTTTCATTAAATAAGATGGTCCACTTATTTCTATATTACACCAATCAAATAGATAACGGTGATAGCTAGATGTTTATTCAAGCTCCACACTAAATTAATTAATTTTGACACAGATTCAAACTAGTTATTAAAAAACTTTTTCAGCTTAGGAATGAACTATTAAAATATCTGGTAGCATTGTTAACTCACTAAAAATAATTTCTTTAATTAGGAATAGTGTTTGAAACAAGACACCTAGAATTTTTCTGTTACATTATCTACATTTTGATAGAATATAGAAACAGATGGATGGTCAGATAGAAATGTGAAGAATTCAGTTCTTGTAGATAGAATGCTCACACATGTAGTAATTACTCTAACCGTTCATAACGAATAATCATTTCAAATAACATGCATTTTATTTATCTCTAAATGCCATTCAAACAGACTTACTGGACATACATTTGGAGATCGCTAGGACATAAAAATAGCAGCGTAACTTTTCTGCAATTCACACTGGTGATCAATATTTTATCAACCAACTGTCGGAATTGGGTGCAATAAAGAATACCATGCACACATCCCCCCCCCCCTTTTCATCAGTTTATTGTATAATCAATGTACTTTTGATTATTTCAATAAATATTTTATTTGTCCCCAAAGATCAAATGTCAGATCATATTGAACATTTTCCTTTCCAATACCTTTACTTTTGGACGATCTGTGGTGAATTGGCAAAAAACATGCAGATTCCATGGATAAAATTTTATGATACAGACATTTTTAACAAATGCTATAAAATGTTTTTTTTTCAGGGTACACAAAAGTGCTTAAATTGAATATCTTGCAGTGAATAGATTTCGTAAAATGCACAGAAATAACACAAGGTATCCAATCAACAACCAATGAACTGATAACTTGTTTTGCAGAAACTGCACACGAAAACATTTACTACTCAACCGAGCAACCAAAACTCAACTTGACAACTGAATCAATCACAAGCCATTGATTAAAGAACAACAAGACCTAAGCTTGCAGACTCTAAAATTTAAACAACAGTTCTTAAGGTAGTGAAAATGAGGAAAGATAGGTTGCCAGGCAACAAAACATACTCACACAACAGCTAAGTTGTCTGAGCAGTCAACAAGGGTAACAACCAATTAAGTAATTATCGGATATCTTTAGAATTCTATTATTTGCCCCATGGCCTTAAAATGTTGTACCGGTATATAAATTTATATTAACTTTAGCCTCAAGTGATTAAGGGCCACAACTCTGGTAGTAATTATCGGAAATCATTGAAAAGCAACAGGCCCTCATAATCTTAAACAATGTGTAGCAATTGGATATTAACGTTAGCCACAAGATTTTTCAAAGTGATCGAGGGCCATAACTCTGGCGGTAATTATCAAAAGTTGTTAAAAATCAATAGTCTTCCTTGCCTTGTGACCTTAAACACTGTGTATAAATAAATTTATAGTCAATCAGATATTAACTTAGCCTCTTCAGTGTCCAAAGGCAGTTGTGGATGCCAGATCGATCGACAGGGGCATATAAAAATTGAAAATGAAACTTAGTCCTGAAACATTCATACACTACACAACTAAAATACATCAATTGAGCTCTCTTGCAATAAATAACCTACATGAATTCCACTTCCTCTGCAAACTAAAAATTGACCAGTCTTGACTTTTAATGTTCAAAAATAGTCTTTGGCAAAAATCACTCGGATAATTGTGATCAAGTAATAATAACCTTCCAACAGATTAGTTTCCGGCTCTCCTAAATCTATTATAGCAATTTCCAATATATATGAAGGAGCTAAACGACTCATCAAGGAGGTGATCTGAACTATTTATCTTTTAATCTTGGGCACCTAGTGAAAAATTTCCATTAAATTCAAGAAGATATTCCCATCTGTCTAGACAATCTTTTGCCGTTTAGAAATCAGGCATCAAGCATGAAAATGGACCAATTACTGAGGGTATAGAAAGGATTGGATAAACATTATTATTTGTGTTTTTGTTGAAATATTTGAAAGCAGACTTATTCTTTTACATTTTTGGTACCAGTACGTCTAAAGAGATTCAAAATTTGATAAGGACTACAACTAGAACAACTGCAGCTCTTGATTGTTAGAATTACCTAACGAATTATTTATGCGTGCAACGTGATGTCTTGGAATATAATGATGGTTGAATTTCTCAAAAATTTTCGTAGGAATGATATTTGACACAGGATAAACAATAGAGATCAATAATATTAATTTATACCATGATGAATAACTCTGAAACACTTCATGCAATCTTTATAAAATAGAACTTCCATGAATATTGAAATTCAAATTAATAAAATAACCCACCATCTACAGCTACAAAAACTGGGTGGAAGGTCATTAAATGGTTAAAATTACACATGCTTTGGTTTTGGCCAAGCTTGATTTGTCTTATATAAATGCACCATTACCATTGTGTTAAATTAAGAAAATATAAAAACAAAATATTGTTCAGAAAAAAAGAAAATCAATTCACCGTTAAAAGCTACACATAAAAGTAGTAATTGATGATGCACAGGCATAATACAATCAATTTTCATAACAAAAAGAGCTGATATTTCAAACTTCATATTGATATTTTTACAATAAAATCACAAATAGTTGCCTAAAAGTACATTCTGATTAAAATACTAACATTCAGTGGGAACATTCTGTTTCAATCACACAACTCATTTTCTTCTCATTAAACCCAAAAGAGAGAGAGAGAAATTGGGTTTAATGTCCACTCGACATGAACTAGGTCATTTTGGCACTAACATATGGTTCAATTTTATTTCAATAATTCGCTTGCGCGTAGGGGTCTTTGCCAGTGGGAGGAAACCGGGGGAACCACGGAGAAAACCCATGGGGTTGGACAGGCGAACCTACTCCTTGTCACATACAACCAGGGAATCAAAACCACACCAGTTGACTCAATGACGGACCTTATGATACAGCACACACGTGCTAACCATTCGGCCATCCAACCCTAAAGAGCCATCAAAGAATTTTAAAGCTTCAAAACTAAATGACTTTTTAATTTATCAAGGTCAAAATTACATTGGTTTCGAGTTCTTTGGGGAATTTGATTTCAAAAACAGTGTTAAGAAGAATGCTACACTAGGAGAAAGTTAGTATTTTTATCATTCTGTGAAAATCTTTTAAAAAATACATCCATAATGACTTTAGGACATATAATCACGATAACCTGTTGATACACCAGGGTACATCTGTATCGCATTCACTGCAAGATACCAAATACCTACTTCAAGATGACCGATTAGATGTGTTAGTTAAGACTACTTTCTCTAATTTTCAAATTCAACTTTTTTTTAATGGTCAATGTCTTGTTGGACCAATAAGGGAGATTAAAACAGAATTCCATAATCAGAATTCTAAATTTCTCTGAAAATGACATAATTTTGATTTGAATGCATTTCCAGAAATTCTTCAGATATTTTTGACGTAACTAAATATTTTGTATCAGAAATCTATGGAAAAGCTGCTGCTGTTTGTCATCCAGATCATTAAGCATTCAAGAAAGTTACAACCTTTCATCTTACAGATGAAGAATCATAACCTTTGAACTAAACTATTTAGAACCTTACCATTGGGTATAGTGGGTGCAGCAGCTTTTTTGGTCATAACTCGGGCAGTGGCATTATTGACCTAATTAGGATAAATTAATATTTCACATTAAAATCTTGACATTCAGGTTTCACAAAAACATGAAATTGAACCATGACAGAATTTTATTTAGATGGTTTGCAAAAAACAAATGAATAAATTGGCCAGAAAAATTCATTATATGTTACAAGGGCTGCCAGGGAGTATAAAATCTACCTCCTTGCTACTCTGAGTCTATTCTTAATAAATCACTAATTTCAAATAATTATAATCAACCACCTAAATAAAACACTGTCATCATATGGCCTCTGTTTTCTTAAATTAACATTTAATTAATAAAATTGAAATTTATAATTGAATATTTATAGAATTTGAAAAAAAGTTAAATATATATATATTCTTTTTTATGATTTACTGATAAATAGGTCTAGCATTTCAAAACTCTTCATTATGTATAAATTTACTTTACTTTGAAAAAAGAAAAAGAATCATCTATAATAAAAATAAAAACATTTGGCCATATTTAGATTCAATTACAAAATTTTAAAATAAATAAAAAAAAGACGCTAACAAAATATTGCAAACATCGTATATATCTTTTTTAGGGAAATTTTAAAAATAACCAGCAGCTGCCAGGCAAGATATGCCACCCTTTTGCTAGCGATGGATAGAGGAAAGGCTACAAAAAATCACCCAAAAAACACGATTTTTCTTACAATCAGGGGCAATAATCCAAGATGTTATGGACTAAAATGTGAGAATATTGAAAGGGATTGAGATCTTTGGGATATAAAGATATATTTTAAGTGTCATCAAAATTGAAAGGAACCAAGATCATGTATTTCAAGCCTTATCAAAATCGGATTAAAATTGTGACTTCTAGAGTGTCCACAAGCTAAAAACATGAATTTCCCTACAATCAGGATCCATAATCCACGAAGTTTCGGTACAATACATGCCAATATCGAAAGCAACTGATATCTTTTGGAGATAAACCTATATTTGAAGTTTCGTCAAAATCGGATAAGAATTGTGACCTGTAGAAAGTTTACAAACAATTGTGGACGGACAGATGGGGGCGACGACAATATACGTCCACATGAAAATGTGGGTGTACAAAAATCACTGAAATCATATGTTTTTTAAATCCAAAAAAGAACTGATGTTTATCTGATATTGTGCAATATTTTGTTACATCCTGTCTAAGCGGATTTGACATAGCAGCAATAAAATTGTGTTACCATGGAAACATAACCCTATTACAAACATGACTTGTAAATTAAACCTTATAAAGTAATTTTATTACTGATGTTTCAGATCTTGAAATTATCTTTTTTTATCATAATACAAAACTTATAAATATGTGATATTATGTGGGTTTAATCAACCAAATCCGGGCAGTAGATCTTTTAAGCTGTCTTTTAATTTGAAGACTTTATTCTAGCAATATATCGAGGCATGTGTAGAAGTCATTTAAAAATAACTATAATTTTTTTTTATCTGATTTTGTGAAGTATTTCTTAATCTGTTTCCATAGCAACCAAATCTGCCTAGGCAAGAAAGCGTCAATAAGCAAAAGATGTAAACTGCATATATCATATCATAAATTCTCAGTTTGATAATAGACTATTCCAATTTCCAACTTTACAGCCAAATGTAACTCTGTTATGATGCAAATTTCAGAATATGAAGTTAAAACTTTATACATGTACATTATGCAGTTTACATATCACAAAAAGCAACTGAACACATAAAAAACAGTAATAATTTAAATATCAATTTGTTGTAATCTTTTTTTTTTTTTTTGATTCTCAAGTCTAGTTAGTTGCCATTGTTCATTCCAACCGTATTGATATCATGGCCCTATTTCTCCATGCCCATAAAAATAATTGTCATCAATTAAATCAAAATTCATAATTCCCTTAAATAATTTATCATACTATTCAAAAATCCAATTTCAGATTATACAATTTATCATACATAAATATATGATAAAGGTTTACGATGGTTGATGGATTGAACAACTTTACTAAATATAGACATTCATTTTGTGTTAGGTTTTTTCGATGCCTACCTTTATGGGAATATAATTTCCTTTTTCAAATTTGCAGCCAATAAGTTTCTCAAGAAATAAACCTAACAATTAAAATATTTTGAAAATTTGCCAATGTTCTGAAAAGAATATGAAGGGAAACTTTATTTCCAAAACAAACTGTCAAATTTTCAAAATATTTTTCTCAGTTCTTTTTGAAAAATTCATTAAAACCAGCATGAAGAAATGCCCAATGTAAGTAATGTTTGATGCAACAATTTAAATAAAAAAAAATGTCAGTGCTTTTTTTTTTTTTATTAAATATGTTTTAATATTTTTAAGGGTTTTTTTGTTTGAAGATGCGGACGTACTTGATTGGATATTTCTAACAGGTCACCTCAGAGTCATGGATTTCCTTTCGGTGTTTATCCAGGATGTTGCGACAACTAAATAAGAAATTTTGATTTTTTTTTTCTTCCAAGAAGGCAAAAAAATAATAATCTATGCATCAAGTTCGTCTTTGACATTCTGTTTGATACATGAATTTGTTTTATTTTTACAAAATTATTTTTTTTTAATTCATCAAATGATCCATATATCATTTCTTCAATTTTGATAACTACCATTCTAAAAAATGATTATACCTCACATTTTCACAAACAGAATGTTTGAGTACGATATAGGACACATAGATTTCCTTCCCAATAAAAAAAATCATAATCAGTAATGTCTCTCCCTACTCACAAATACGAAAAAAACCAACATACATTTCAAACGGACGCACATACATTTGGCAGGCATTTCTTAATACTGTACAAACAGGAGAATAATAATGATAAATAGCACTTGCTAAACTGTGCTACCACAGTAAATTTTTAATAAACATGCGGGCACCTCAATTTTTCTTCCCTCAACCACTGTGCCGTTGAGTTTTTCACGTGCTAGGTCTGCATCTGCGCTATTTGCGAAAGTTACGAAACCGAATCCCTGCATGCATAAGGAAAATAAAGGACCATGCATTAAAAAATCGTGCAATTCAACATAAATAATGGCATAAATTTTCTGTATAAAAATCATTATCAATATCATTATGATCAAGTCATTACATTAACATGCAGTAATTATAGTTTAATAAGTTTCATGGTCATTAAAAATTATATACATATCACATGACAGACCACATGACATTATCACATGACCAGTCAAATAGCTACTTTCATTTTCCACTTTTGTTACTATTAATAAATCTGGTAAGAAGTGATTGGGTTTATTTCATGCTTATTGGATTCACTAGAAGCATTTTTCATTCCGTCAGACTCCTTATACATATATATATATTAAATATATAGAACAACCATTGTCCTTCCAAAAATCCACCACGAGGGCACAGAGAACAATTCACATGAAGAACAACCAAGCAAAAGGTTCGAAATGGTTAGTCTAGTGCGTGGATACGATGTGCCGCAAGACAAGATGATCGTATCGTAAAAATAATAATTTTTTTTCCTCCTGAGCCTTTCTATAGACATAGCTTGTACAAGATTCCTCAGGCTTATTTGCATAATTATGCAATGAATTATATTTTTAATAAAACACTCATCCATTCAAGCAAAATATTTTAAAAAGTTCTTTAAATTATTTGATAACTGAATCCAATTAATTATTCAATTTGCCTTTAAAATATCTTGGTACAAATTAAATCTATAAAAAAACGTTACTAATCCATATATTCACCGGCTTTGTTGTGTTTTTGACTGAAAGTTGTTCGTGATATGGCTTAATGCAACAGTTACTAATTTTGTTCATACTAAAATTTAAACATTGATAACGCTTAAAAAAATATGCAAAACAACTGGGACCTTCTTGTTTTTTAATCATGCAGGACAAAATTAAAGTAATTTCGAAGATAGTAAAATCATATAAATTGAGGTATGGGGAAATAAAGAAAATCTTATTTCTAATTTAATGAAGTCCCTTATGATATGAAATATATCTAACCTATCTAATTTCATCTGAAGAAATGCTTTGAAAAAAGAAGCTCAATTAGTAATTTTGGAACACATTTTGCAAGGTTTATCACAACCTCACAACTTATGATGACAGATTTGACTGACTTAACGTAACATGGGTTGTAGAAAATAAAATCATAAGTATTATGCAATTTTAATGCAGCTCATGCAGTTTGAATTTGTGCTTTGTCATGAATACGGACATCTACTATGATAATCATGAATCTAAGAGACAATGGACAACATAATAACATCACGAACAACTTTCAGCAACAAATTATTACCAAGTTTCAATTCATGTATACAAACACAATTAATTTCAGTCTCAGATATCTTATGGAAGAAATTGACACAAATAAAAGTATACTTCTATTCTATTCTATTCCTCTTCAATTCCAATGCTTCGGTCACTATTATGCAATAAAACAGTCTTGTATTTGAGGATTAGAATTGTCAGAGTTCTTTGTATGGGTCAACCCTAAAAGATTAGTGGCCATTAAAAGTTGGTAATATTACTAATATTCCAAATTATTTACCAAAGATTTGCATAAAACGTATAATTTATTTGCAGTAGCTAAATTTAGAATCAAGATGTTCTTTAATTATGTGTAATTCGGCAAGTGAGACTACTATTACATATTTGGGCAACAAAAATCACAAATGATCAATTGCCTTCAGTGATATATTTCAAAAATAAGCTCTAAGGGAATGGCAGCTAAAAAATATTGAATTAGTCTGATTAGATTTTGGTTATAAGGCAGACTGAATAATAAAATAGTGCTTTAAAAATGTCAGAAACATGTTTTAGCTCAGGGCACGAACGAAGCACAATAATGACCATTTGCTAATTAGATTTGGTAGTAGAACTGGCTTCATCATTTCTGTCTATTGTGAGAAATTGATGAGTACACACAAGAGACATTTCGCAAAACGTATTACAATGAAATGTAAGAAGCTGCTAGAAAACCTGAAATTAATCATCTTCATCTCTCAAGACAAATCGATGAAAGTGTTTTTAAATATAAAAGAATTTACAAATTTGTGCCAATTTCTTCCAATTTTATTTTCAATTGCAATAGAAATTATTATAAAAATATTACCATTTGATAAGAAATATGATCATAAAATACATAATCATAAAGGATAATGTTTCAAAACAAAACTTTCAAATAAATTTTTTCAGAATATATATATATATGAAATAATGTTTCTTTTTTTTTGTCTAATGTCAAGTAGTATGAAACATTATCCTTAGAACAGAGTCTTCTTCTCAATTACTTACAATATAAACCACAAAGTAAAGACCAACTTTGCCTATTGTCAGTTTTTAAATAAATTAATTTTGTAATTACACAGAAGACTCCGTTATTAAGATTCTTACATTAACCTGACTGGGATGATCACAAAAAGATGCCAGAATTTTTTTTCTACACATGAATAGCCATGTTTGGTCTCCTGCATTACCAAATAAAAGTATTTAATTTGTTCTTCAAACCCAACTAATCCCAGTCAGATGTCAATGATTTTTCGGATAGAAATAAACAATAAACATACCTTAGACCCTCGTTCGTTAAATATAATTTCTACATCTAAAATTGTACCAAACTGAAAATAGAAATCCATCTAATCAAAATACTGCAATCAAAATCTAATATATTAATAAAATCGTACACTGGACAAGCAGAACAATAAAAAAAAGAAAACAAATTGTTTAAGCTTGTGACAATATAAGGCTGTCTGTAACAGATATTTTAAATGCTGGACAATAGTTTATTCAGTTTGAACATCATCATAATAAAATTGTAATTGGATAAAATCATTAGTGTACAAGATTTTTTATTCTTTTATATCTGATGTGGTTTCCAGTTACAAATGTATGTGAGCAAGAGATCATTGACTGTATACATGCGATACTCTTATCAATACAAGTCTGCTTGTAGAACAAGACCTTAGAACTATCAAATTAAAAATCATGAACATTGACATGAAGTAACTACACAAAGGATGTGAAAAATCAATATCATCATCTGGTATCACGAAGCCAGCTTTCCACTCAAGAGGGTTGAATTTCTTCGCTTAATTAGCGCATCTTTATCTCAAGGGTACATTGTTGAAATAAGATTTCGTGAACTCCGCGTTTCCCGAAAAATCGTGGAAAACACAAATTTGAGAATTTGGGACTGTAACCACTTTATGAGTATTACATCTAAACTACCATGGGGAAATATTGAATTGAAGTACATGCAGCTTTTTAAAATCCGCAAATTTCAGTTTTCAAATAGTATGAAGACAATATGATGTTTACTATGTTATGCCATATGCCATATTATATTTCTGGTTATTGAAATATTCAATGAGTCCTGATGACTCACACTATATCCATCTGCAGACAATGGTCCTGATTAGTATCATTGGAGTTAGTTTCCTAGACATGTTCTGAATGAATCATTGATACAAATTCAGAAGCAATTAAATCACAAGTCTTGGTCTTCTGGTTAAAATACCGATTTAAATCATTAGAGACATACTGCCAACAAAAATATTATCATATAATAGAAAATGTTCCTTCAAGATTTGACATTGTATCTATATAACATAACAATTCTTTTGCGATATTTAAATCCTCTGGAAAGTATGTGGCTAATGAAATAATAGTCATTTTTTATTTGACCACCATGACTAATACATCATTTACATGGATTTAGTCTAGAATTTCTTTTTTCCAAGACATCTACATTAGCCTTCAGGTTCGAATAGATGAAACTATTAATCTCGAGGGAAACACATCCTGAAGCGTTTGTTATGATAATCTTTATCATTACAGTACTAAGATTTGTAATGTAATTGTTGATAAATAATTTGTTAATAACTGTTCTATGATACAAGGGTAAAAACAACTACATGTTAGTATAGGATTGGGATTTCTAAATAACACAAATAAACAAAATATAAAAACTACAGGTTACTAAATTTTTGACTAAACTCATCAGTTTCAGTAAATAACCAGATTGTTATTTTTATATGAGGCCAATATCAGTGGATCTGATGTCATGGCAGAGTTCCACAGCTATGCCAATATTTCAGTTTGTACCACGTAAGAGCCAAAGTTTGTCAGTACACTACCATTTTAGAGTGATTTTAGGGTAGAAAATAATTTTGAAACTGATGTGAATCGTCAAGGTAAAGTTTAAACTAAGGAGGGTAAAATATTTTATTACTTCTACCCCCAGTAATTGTCGTAAATCTGCTTCTCTAAATCTGAATGGTATATTGGATATATGAAGTCGTTTAGGACCACTGTTTGAAGCTTGAGTTCCAGCTGGTGAAGGACTCTGAACATTTGTTTCTCCCTCTGCAACTTCGGTTTGCTGAAAAACACAAAAGAAGTTCTACCAATTAAATTTCATTATGATTATATTTTCAACACTGTTGGGTGGAGTATTTGCTATTAATCTGGAATTTGAACTAAAAGCCATCTTTAGAATAAAAAAATCAGTAAGGAATCAGTAGAACCTACTGTATGTTACCCTAGGACTACATCATATGAATTGAAAGTGCCTATCATACTGAAATGAAAAAGAATTGAAAACCACAACCACATCTAGTTTTTTGTTTGAAAGTTAAAACGTACATGTACTGGTCTTGGTCTTACCGTCTGCTGCTCAACAGCTCCACTGGGTGGCGCTACAGGCATGGCAGCAGGCGTAGCGTAGATAGGGTTCTGTGTGGTATCAACTGTTGTCGTTGTTGCTTGTGAGGCCACCTGGTGGTGATATTCTTCCAAGCCAGGCTGTGGAAATGTGTAGGTTGGGGTCATCTGATTCTGCACCATGTGCTTAAAAGATAAAATAAAACTCATAAATTTACAATTTCAAAAGAAAAAATATACAATTCATTACAGATAGTCCATCGACTGGTTATTAGCACAGACATGACTGTAAATAAAGTTACTGCTTTATTATTAGCACACTTCTTCAGTCCATCATAATACACATACTGGGATATGTTTAAAATGCGACCCAAATACATTAAGAACTAAATGTAGTAGAAGGACTTGAAAGGCCTACATGGATTTCAAAATATTGGTTTTGTACTGAAGAGTGTACAGATAATGTTGGTACCACATAACTGGGGCAAGCAAACTTTGTTAATATTATTAGCATGAAACCACTATTTGCTCTCAATTTGGTCATTTCCTTTCAAAATTGCAAAGAAAATAATTGAAACAAGTACATGTATATAAGTTAAATATGAAAATTTTCAATTGTATCAAATAAAGTATTATCAAAAAGAATTATCAAACTTTTAATGGTTTTACAATAAATACAATATATGAGTATGAGTAGAATGATCTACACTTGTTTGAGGTTGTTGGAACTCAGCTAATAAAATCAATATTCTTGTCAGAAGCTCGAAAATCCTGATCAAATAAATCAAGGCTTGAAAATTTCCTGTCCACCCTGGAGAGAAGAAACTCAAACCAGAATCTAGAAGATGGATACTAACTCACCCACATGGGAAATTCTGTCATATAAAATTGATATAATTCCAAGCTAATATCAACAAACTCACTCCTGGATAAAGAATAGCACTACGAATTATCTTATTACACACAACTGGCTTTGTTTATCACAATTCAAAATGGAGATAGACAATGTTACAAAAAAAACAAGAACTGAACCTCTTAAACCCAGGTTAAATATGGGCAAAATTTTAAACCAGATATGTATCCAAAACTTCAGAATCTAAGACACAAAAAATTACAGATATCCTTGATCAGTCCTCTAGTTCCTAAGTCACATACTGGTTACTAAAATATTTACAGGGGTTTTATTCTCTCAAAGTGCTGCTGATTTTCAAATTCCTTGTTTTACAAGATTGAAATTAATCCAAACTACTCTTTGAAATCAGTGAGAAGTTTAAGATTGCTAACACAACATAGGACATATCACTGAACAATAATAGGTAAACCATCTGGTCATGTTTTTGTACCAATGTGTGAACAACTGTCCCTAGCTTGGTAATGAACAGCAGGCTGACTTCTACCCCTTAAACTCTTCTCATACAATGCCTTAATTAACAAGATCAATTATCTGTAATTATTACCCTAAAGTTTCAGCAATTTTCGAAATGTCATTGTATTTAATATACATGAGGGTTCTACTTTTTCTGATAATGAAAACTTTTACAGTAAAACAACTGAATTTAACAAACTACTACGTTTATTGATATTTCACAAAAAAAGTCAATAATTACTTTTTTGGGTTGATTGATTCCTTTAAAGTTTAATAGACTGGTACTGATGAACAAAAAGTTCAAATCATGTACAACACCTTCAAATGGTAATTTATGATCAAGGGCTTGATGCTACTTTTTTGATAAAAACACTTATAAAATAAAGTACAAAAGTTATTTTATTTAACTGCAACATATTTATCAGTGCCACAACCATGAGGAGAAATCCAAAACATCCTTCCAGTTTTGCAAATTAAGAGGGATCTAACAGAAGTTCTACCCATCAAATACAAATTATTGGATTTTTTTTTATAAAAAATAAGTCAAAGTCAGTCATAAATAAATGTTTCAGTGCTACTGCTTCAAATAATATATGGTTTACATCTGTGTTTATTTTGTAATAACCCTATCAATGTTTAGCCACTTATATACACTTTTAATGAGTCACAATTTTCAGTCTAATTTACTTATTAACATAAATTTTATCATCATGAATCTGCCTACAATTACCAGTAGTAATACTACTGAATTATTGAAGCCAAATATCATATTTAATGGCAATGACATTTTACAGTTAGCATTAGTGATTGTCATGTGGTCATATAAATATTTGGTAATCACAAGTATGTTACAATTTTGCAAAGCAACCAGTCTACCAACAAGCAGCAAGCCATTGTCTGAGATCTGGTTTGTGAGTTTGATCCCGGAGCAACAATAGTTATTAAGGCTACTTTCTTTAATTTTGGAGAAAATTGGTTATTTCTTTAACAACTTATTATTGTTTCAATTACAACAATTCACTTTTTTGTATACAGAAATATGGTTTCAAATGACAAAAAAAATGCAGGAACATAATGAAGTGTAATAATGAATTGCCTGCAAGCAATACCACAAAACATTACAATTCTAAATGTCAAACACTCTTCCCTATGTAACCTAATTGGCAAAAACATGTAACAATATGTAGTATATGCAAAACTGGTAAATTGACAATATGTGTAGACTAATAATAGCACCAATATGTAAAGCAAGGACTGTTAGTGTTACATTTAACAATTGAGTTACTCTATTAGTTACATTGCAATAGTAGTATTTCTATCCCTACTAAAACTACAAAACAAAGATTCTGGATTCTGTTTTGCATTGTATTCAACAGAATAATGCAAATTATTAAGATTTTTTATAACAAAATCAACTGCTGTAATATCATAGATCAAATATGAAGAACAGAAGGAAAATATGCACATGTAATACATGTATGTATGTAACAATCTTACCTTCTTAATAACCATGTATTATTATTTACACTTATATACTGTCTTGTAATATTTCATATTTTATGAAAGCCTAGTCAAAATGTCACTCAGTAATAAGCAGTAATTATATTCCATATGCAATCGTATAATTATTAAGTATTGAATTCCATTACATGTATCCATGCACCATGTCTAATTTATAACAATTTACTAAAAAAAATCTCATCTCTTGCCAAAAGAATAACTACAATTAGAATACAATTCAGGAAAATAATTTATAATAATGACGACCTTTCAAAGCTTCATTAAACACAAATTAAGCATCAGACACTTAATTCTGTAATTCGCAGATAAAAAACATATGAACAACCATTTTTCTCATCAGAATTTCTTGGATTAGATACTTTATTTCAAAGGTAAAGTTAATGTAGCATGCAAAATCTACAACTTACGTGATAGATCAATTTGGTTTCAAATCCAACAACACAACAGTAGCATCATTTAAATCCCTTCAATACACAGAGGAAAACCGTAACACCAAGGAAACCCCATGGGGTTAAGGCAATCCTACTTCTTGTTATATTCAAACTCAGGATCAAAGAGGCATAATGATCTACAGCATTAGAGTGCACCTACCCCCCTCCCCATAATAATTATCTAGAACGTTAATGATAGAAAGAGATGTCTCTTGTCAGGTTACCATAAAGATATATACACCAAATTTTTCCACTAATAGATTAAAGATATTAAGAAAACCTACCATGGGTAATCCTTTACGCTCCTCCAAACTGACCTGAATACCTTTCTCCAGAGCAAATATTCCCATCCTTGCCAGGCTATACTGAAGTGGATGGACTGGCATTTCACTTAATGTCATGTATCTCTAACTCGTTAATAAATAAATCTTCTGGTTTCGTTCAGGGATGAAACAAAAGCAATCAGCTTAATTCCTGATTAATTGAATCCTCAGAGATTGTTTTTAATAACAGCGTAATGACATTCTGAATAAACCAATGTCTAGATTTGGCAGGCTTAAATTAACAAAATAATTTACTGCCTAGCTGGCTGATCAAGTAAAATTAAATATCACATATACAGAGATTAAACTTTAAAATGTTTGTCAGGGTTTTGATTCCAATCAATATCACATTAGAGCACTGAATTTAATCCAAGACTCTGCCATTTAATCCGAATAATTCAAGTCCCAGAATAAGTAACCTCTATCAATCCAATATCACAATCCAACTCTTTGCATAAAACGTAACCTATATTCACAGTTGTTATAAAATGTCTAACAATGACTAAATCACCATATAAAGCCCACTAAAAACAATGAACTAGATATTCTGACAGTTAAAGTTCAGGGGTTGAACACTGCCAGGCTACAAGCATGTCAAAACATTCATTATTCATAATCAATGTTAGCCCCTGGTGTTCCAATCTATAGCTCTGGTTAAATTGGACTGGATGATGAAGAGATGGATATCGATAAAGGAAATAACCAATAACGCGGAACTGCTTGATTTGGACTGTTCCACTTATAATTCTTAAACTACCAATTGCAAATCAGAACTTTTCCTTTGCCAGTGAAACAAATTAATTCAAAATAAGGTCCTATTTTACATCAGATACTTGTGAGACCCACATACTGGCTTATTTAAGACTAGGGAATTAAACCAACTTAATTTTGTTGTCTGAACAATATATTATTAGTAAGTCTGAACATTCAACTTAGTCTAGTAGTAATGAATATTAGATGCCTATCCTGACATCTTGGCTTGGATTTTCTTGGTATTTTTATAATTGGAAAGACGACTCACGACATGTGGTGGATGAATACATCACACATCACCAAGAATAACTGTATTAGAATATTAATATTTTATGAACAGTGAATCAGAATAGACTAGACAAAAGCTGGCTTAATCTCCTTGATGTTGTTTATAGTGACTTCAAATATCTTCCCAATGATGAGCGAGAATATATAGGAATCTTGATTAAATATCCCACATTACATTAGATAAGTATAACCCTGTATGGGGCTTAATTTCTAATCCATGTTATTGTAAAATTGTGATATTCCGTATTTCACACAATGTAAAACAAATTACAATTCATTTATTTAAGAGGGCAGTTGATAAAAATTTGTTTTGCATCAAAAACAATTTACAAATTTATCAAGAGTTAAGAAATGATTTGTGTTAGTAAATGCATAACTGTAAATTTTTAGGTACATAGAAAACCGACCTGAGACATTTGCTGAGCGTACGCCAGTTCTTGCATCTGATCAAAACCTGCAGGAACTTGTGGAAATACATGAGGATACTGGGCAGGGTAGGACTCA